AGGCTGATAAGCCATCTGATTTTGCTATAAAGGGCAATTCTAGGCATATCACCGATTCATTAGGATGGTACACAGATATGCCAGTTACTATGAAGGACAAAGAGGGTAAAACAGTCACAGTCATTGGAAATTTTGTATGTATAGATAATGGCGAACCTGAACCAATGCTATTTTTAGGTATGTCAAATATTCGAAAGCTCCAAGGTGTTCTCGAGCCAAATAAAAACCAGTTCCGCATAAAGTTACATGGGAAGACCTATGTTATTCCAACATATAGTAAGGCCCCAGTAGCTAAGGATCCGCCAAAAGAGAAGCAGAAGGTAGTCCCTCAGGAATCCTCCACGCATGATTCAGCCCAAGTATCCACCAATTTCTCTAGCCTAACTAGTGAGGATGATTTAAAAAAAAGTGCATAAATTGTATGGATTATAGAGATATAATAATTCGTATAAAAGAGCTCGAAAAGGCATTATTTTCTAGCATTCAATTGAATTTGGAAATCATAGGATACTATAATAATTTGCTTGACCGATATGAAAAGATTTCTCTAGAACCAAATAAGGTTGAATAATTATTTAAAAACAAGAGCACGACCAGATGCTCTAATTTTCTCTATTTCAGAACTAGTTCTCTTATACAAATCCAAGACATCTTCAAAAGATTCAGTAGATGAAATAGAATCAGAAATGCAAACAGTTTCAGTTCTCGATTTTCTTCCTCCAGTCTTTTTCATCTTACTATCTGAAACAACATCCTCTTTCAAAGCTGAATCAGTAGATTTGCTAATTTTAGTATCATGTATCTTGTTTTCCCATGCTGTGAAGGCAGAATCGAATTTATTAGCATCATGATTGGAATCTTCACTTAAGCTAAGTATATTAATATTTGATTGCAATGCCTCTTCTCTAGAATCTATTAGTGGATGATTCCCTCTCCATATTTGATATACACGCCTTGTTGATATTTTGTATTTGCTTGCCATAGCTTCTGATGCACATTTCATTGAATTTCTAGCATTAATGATATCTTGTATATTATCATCAGATAAAGGAGTTGCATCAGATCGCAGATATCGAACTTTTTTTCTGAATTCTGTAACATGATATATTTAAAATAAAAAATATTTAGATAATAATTCGAAAAAAATTCAATACTGTTTTGATATATATCCAATCCCCATTCGGTGTTTCTGAACTATTCGGTTAACATCCGATCCCATTTCGGTGTTTCTGAACTATTCGGTTAATATCTGATCCTATTTTGGTGAAAATTTGATTTAGATATATCAGTTAATATCTAATCCTTATTCGATTTGCTATTCTTTTTGATTAGTATTTGATTAATATCTTCAGTTAACATTCGATTGGTATGATCACAAGCAATACAATAAAAACTTACTATATCTTGCGATTCAATAGAAAGCTGGATATTATGAGATTTAATCTGAGAATATAGAGGCATTGTATCAGACGATTTCTTATCTTTATTGGGCACTGTGTTATCTATTGGCAAATCAGTACTTAAATCAATAAGGGTTTCGGTTATAAGATTCTTTTTTCCTACTGTTGAATTTTTAGTTATTTGAGTCTGATTCGAAGAAAACATATTTTGTATCGGGTCAATAGGATGTTCTTGCCTTCTCCATATTTGATAAATACGCTTTAATGATATTTTATACTTACTCATCAATTCATTTAAAATTTTATACATCAGTTTTATATTACGATACTGCATAATATAAGAATAATCTTCAGGAGAAAACAGAGGTGTATCAAATCTTAAATATCTAGTCATAGTTCTACTATATATGTGATAATCGATAGTTTGTAAATTATAGGTATTATTAATAATAGTTATTCACTATTTAATTTATTTTCAGCTATTAATAAGGATATCAATGAAGAATTTCACTCATAAATTTTTTAAATATATTTATGACTAAGTTGAAAAAAAAATATGTTCAATATACACACCTTAAGAGATACCAAGAATAGAAAGGTTCTGGAGGGGCCAGGTCATCAGCTTGGTAGCATCCGCGAATCAGAACTTGAGAAAGCATTACGCAGTAGCATCAAAACTGCTTCTGATATTGCTAATGAATATAAAAACCTCCAGGGCATATATTTAAAACAAAAAGAGGATCTTGTGCTAGTTAAGTGTATTCAAAATGATCTAGATCACTTGCATGAAAAAAAT